TGACCATATAATATGATTTATACGTTAAGCAAAATATAATCATGTGGGATCTGGTTAGTTTCGTCTCATAAAATACTTTCACAATATCAACTTTTTATAATTTTTACTCTTACACAATTATAGATATTTAACATATAAAATGTGCTTTGGGATGCGTAATTTCATCCTTGTTGCAATATTATTGGAACGGAGGAAGTACTAAACAAAGAGTCCCAAAACTTTGAATTTCGTGAGCGAGCTCCACTCTTTCCACAATGGTATTTTCCTAGGATCCAAGATTTGTGATCAAGTTTGGGGCTTTGGGTTCTTACAAGAGATAGGCACCCACTTGTCACACTATTACTTCAAATGTATATTCCTCTCTTAAACCTCTCTTATGGAATGAGCTCCAAAAAGTAGGATCGGACAACAGATCTCTTCTTCCTGACTACTTCTGGGAGCACCAGCAAACTAAACAAACATTATTTAGTACATTGTAAAAATTTTCTAGCATATCCATATCTATAATTTTATGCACAGATTTTCCGAAGTTGTGACATGGATTCGTAATATCTCGTTTCCAATGGCACTGCATGTTAGTGTGTAACAAGTAGAGGTTGAAAGGTGAGATTATTGCCAAGATTTATCCTGATAAAATAATCATCTCAGGGCAAAACGTTCCATTCTTATATATAACTGCAATACTTACAGCTCCTCAATTTGAATGAGCAATCCCTGCAAGTCTGCAACTTAGGCTTCCATGTCAATGGATCCCCTTGAAACTTGCAACAGTTATAATATTATTTAAGTTTATTTTTTAAAATCCTAGTTATGAACATATACCCATCTAATCACAATCTCCTAGATTGACATAAATACAGAATTTACATGGGCCGCAAAGACAAAAAGTTACATGTGCCTAGTTGCTATTTCCAAAAGCTAAAAAGCACCTGACAAATTGCAGATACACAAGAAGCTCTTGCTATTTATTTTTTCCAGGACACCTGCATGTATCTTATCTCTCCAGCTACAAATATTTAGCCAATTCAAAACTTTTATAAAAAACATCGAGGACTACTTGTAAGAGTTGTAACACTAAACCTACTTGGAAAAAAAAAAAAAAAAAATCTTATGCCATAAGTAAATAAGTACACTCCCTCTAAGAGTCACCTCAATTCCTCACAATTCATTATTAAAACAAATACACCAATTATCCGCTTATACGTGTTGGTCAACTGCATCCTCTACAAATTTAATTTGAGGGAAATCTAATTACTACAGTCACATCAAGATATAGACTCTTGTTTACCGCAGCCAAATGAGTAAATGTATGTGAAGTAAAATTTGCTCGTACAGAGAGATATATAACCTCATAGATCTTTACTTCCTTCTCTTTCTAGATGATCTTTGTAAGTTGTAACAGATTCTCCAGTTCCTAAATGTGATATGCACAATGTGATTCATCGAGGTAATGTGTTAAAAGTCATCCCGAATCCAGGAAAACTGATGCCCAAACTTAAATATTGGAGCTTATGTATTTAAAATTCAAGGTGTTGCAACTTCAAAGAGCCTCACCATAAACAACAAATAGGAGATGATAATGAAAAGACTCTACCTATGAAAAGGTCTATTCTAAGAAAGAGGCACATGCGACCTACCCTGAAATAGTATAAGACGGATATAAAATGGATGATCCTCCAATCTCAAGGGTAACCAGATACAACCAAGGAACGAATAGAAAAGAAGAACTTGAGGAAGAAGATGGGGAGTGGGTGCTAAGTGTAGGGCAATAGCCAGTGGTTCCCCACAATGAGACCATGGATTTCCTCAAACGTAATATAAAGGATGTCATTCAATTCTACAATGTAGCCTACTGTAAGCTCAATATCTAACGTCATAAGTGGAATTTTGACATAGCTTCGATTTTTGCACTTTCTACAAATCTCAAGTGGTTTTCAATGTCTCACTCCTTTACTACTCAGCTGAAGCATGAGCTTTAATTTTTTTCCCCCTTATAATTTTTAGGGTTGATGTAGGTTAACTTTAGAGTAAATAAAACTACAGAACTACCACAAAACACTTTATTTCCTCTTGTTAAGGAATAGAAATCCGTTGCCAAAAATTTATGTTGTCATTCAATTTGGAATATTTTTTGCCTTTAATCGTGTTTGCAAGCCAAAATTCAATGATTTTCAACTAACATATTCCAGGATAAAACCATTCCACAGACTATAAGATTCATGAACCCCAAATAGGTTTATAAAGCAATCAGATTTCTAGATACCTCTAACATACAAGGATTCTGTACAAACTCATCATCAAATCGATTCGAAACCTCAAAACCCCTAATCAATAAAAATAGGATCTAAAGCCTGCATTACCATACTCAAAACTATTAATTATCAAAAACAAAAGAACTGCAAGCTCAAATTAGCTGATGAATCAATAAAAAGCATGAAATCATACAGTATACAAACACTAAATTTCAAAAGCATAGATATTCACAAAACCCAATTAAAACATACCGAGATTCAATCAAAATCACACAATACAGTAGAAAGCAGTATTAAATTAATCAAAAAATTCCATCTACAAAACACCCCACAAAAATTTCAAGCTAACCAACAAAATTAATACAGCAATAAACACAAAACAGATGAAAAATCAAACACAATATCCCACGTAAATTGATTGAACCAAGAAAAGACAAAGATTAAGTGAGAGGGAATACCAGAAGCAGAAGATGATCGAATAGAGAGACGACCAAAGCGTTTAAGATTAGATGGGAAGGAAACTGAAAAGGGGGTTTGATTAAAGCTCCATGAAGTAGAAGAATTACTGGGTAATTGGCAAACTGTTGAAGAATATCGAAGTGTAATAGAAGAAGACGCCATTTTTACGAGTTTTTTGAGGTCTAAATTTCTGGGAAATGTTGTTATCGACGCAATTACAGAAATTTGGGGAGATTTTTATGCGCTTTTGGAGTTTAAGCCGTGTAGGAGAAAAGTGATAGGCAAATCACGGCCGTTAAATTTTAGGACGAAAATCAGAAAATTAAAAAAAAAAAAAAAAAAAATGTGGTTAAACATTTTTTTAGGAAAAAAAAAACATAAAAATCATTGAATACTTTGTATATTTTTATTTTTTTTCAAATTGATAGCTTATTGGATTCGCAACAATATGTTAAGACTATAATTAATTCAACTAAAGTTATCAAAATCAGAATTTCACTTTGAATCGGAAAGGGCTTTCAGAATAGCCAAGATTAATTTTGACATACATGACCACCCCTTGGTTTAAGTAAAAATTAATCAATCAATCAATAAGTAATTTTGACACGTGTCATCTCTTGATGTTGTTATTTTCCCTCCAAATCTTTTTTTTTTTTAAACATTTTTGTTTACTTGATCAAATTGTTAAAGAATATTTAAAAATATTATAATAATATTTCCTTCCCATTTATCCATAATATATTTACCATATATATCAACTAAAATATAATTTCTAATTCTAAGTTTATTTTTTATTTAAAATATATTTTTCTTTTGGTAAATTATTACTCTGTATGATTGAATTAACAAATCATTACAATTTTCTGTAAAATCCGTGCTTTTCACGGGATTTTAGCTAGTTTTGACTTATAGTTAAGTTAATTGATGTAGCTCAATTATTGGTATTCTTGATCATTCACTAGAGGCTCAAATTAATTTAATTGTGTTGTGTTCTAAAATCAACAATAGGTCCATTATTACATATATAATAATTTTACATATGGCACACATTGATAGGTGTAATAATATACGCACACCATGATGTGCCCAAATTTTATAGCACATTATATTGGTGGAGTATTTATATTTTAGAAGCTTCTGGATACATGTAACTAGACCTTGTTATTGGGTGGGTCGTGTTAAAGAGGGTCACATTTTATTAGGTCAATATCGGGTCGAGCCAATGCCAGGTCGTGGGTAAAACGCGGGTCGATAAAGGGCGGACCAATAAAGTATCAATTACACAAGTATTGGATAAAACCATAATTAAGTACTTTATATGAATATGAAAATATGTAATTTTTTTACATTATCTATTTTCTTAATGTATTTAAATTGGACAAACATGTTGACCATATATTGACCCTACCTAATAAGGGTCATGTTCATTAAAGAACATATCCATTAAGGGCCTATAACCTTGGTATGACCATATTATCATTGGATTACCCTGTCCAATAACCAGGTCTACATGTAACAGGAATAATATTGCTCTTTATTTCTCTAGATTTTTCTACTAGCTTGTATCATGCAGGCCACTAAAAGAATCTAGAGAGTTTTTTTTTTACCGCAATCAGAAGTATATATGATTTGTGAACATTCTAAAATATTATGGCTACAAGAATAATGAAGAAAGTTTTGGAAAATCCTAGCCATTTCTTTTAAGCTCCATCTTCAACTATAAATATAGGTTATGAGCAATCAATCAACGAATACACACATAAGAAACTATACTTATGTTGTGCACAAGCCTTCCTACCTTTCAACCTTTCTTATATACTATACACCTTCTCTACCACAAAATCTACTATTCTTACTTGACTTGCCTTTACTTATTCACCTAATTATATATATATTTTTTAATTTCTACTTCTTTAGTTTATTTCCATCATGCACACTTAGCAACCCTAATAAGTGGTGATTTGCATTAGATATATACCTAAATGGTGATATGCTTTAAGTATTTACCTAATTTAATAATGTGTTTTTGGTGAGCATGAATTAGAAGGCCTTGATGGTGTTTATGGAAAAAATTCGGCACCAATATGTTTGGCCAACAACTTTTAATGTCATAAATAATTATCAAATTAATATACCAAGATTTATGTCTTCTAAATTACTCAGAGGTTTTTTTATTTTTTTTTTTTATTTTTTTTTTTTTTAAGGCTATTCACCTCCCAATGATACCAGACATTATTGTCGAATGTACAATTACAAAAATAATATAGTTGAATCAGCTACAACTTTTCATTATCTCTCAAGAAAACAAATAATAGCAATGACATAAAATTACAGTTTATTTTTCTTTTCATTTTCCATTTATTAATGGCGCAAGCAAAATGTATACATTTAACTTAAAAGAATCAAATAACTTCCAATAATAGTTAGAATGTAGATCAAGCGTCATGAACAAATTAGTTTAGCAAGGGCATCCTCTTCTTGGTTCAACTATTTCTGATAACGAACCGGACTCTGTTATACTTTCAAAGTATCTTCATGGAAAAAACAAAAAAAAATGTGTTACAATTGCATATATAACAAGTTAATATGAATATAAGAAAAAGACAGATAGTTTCACTTACAATTCTTGTGAACGATCATGAGATAAGGCAGCAATTGCAATGTTGTAGAATGCATCATCTACATTTATATCTTCTTTTGCTGAAGTCTCGTAATAAGGAATGCCGCTTGATTTTGGCCCTGACTTTATTGACCCACACCACTCCTTTGCTCTTTTCTCTTCCACCTAATTTGTATACAAACTATACACAATATTAACAAATTCGACCTCCATCCAAAATCATATAAAAGATATTTTTGAATCATGTACGTATAAATTATTCCAGGTTAATATTATTCATATTTAATTTATTTGTAATGACGCAAAAAAATGAAAACAGTGATAGACTGACAGTACAAGTCTACAGGCCCATAATTTATCTAATAAACAATCTTTTTGAAATGGAGGGTAATTATCTGACCTTGCGATTGGCTCCACCATCTTGATCAATCTTATTTCCAATGACCACGAAAGGAAACTTGGTTGGATCAGGAATATCTGTCTGATAATTAAAAAAAGAAAAAGAAATAAAAAGGTCAAAATGATAATTATCAAAACACGTACAATAATAATGAGTTGCTTAATTAGAAAAGTGACGGTCTTTTAAACTTTTTATTTATGGTTTGTTGCCGTAGGTTCTAGGTGTCTCTTGCTAGTTCTTGTCTCCCTAGTTTGCACCACTTTCTTGAACGTTCAATATTATGCAATGCCAAACAATTCAAATGGTAGTTGGATAGACAAATTAAGAATCCTAACATGCTCACACGGGAGCATTGGCTACATCATTGTCCTTCAGTAATACTTCCTATGTTTTTTTTTTTTTCTAATCATTGTATTTTGCGCGGTCTCAAATTCACCTATTAGTCTAATTATTGCTCATATGTTCATATTTAATGACATACAAATGTAGATTATGAAAAATTGATTTTTGGATCGACACCGTATGTCAGTACCACTAATTGAAACTAAATTTAATAAACTCACATGTAATGATGTAACCTTGGATTCATAAAAACATGTTTAAAATATAAACGAAAATAATGTTAGCTAAATAATCATGCAGGAAAGGAATAAATATTCCGAATTCCGAAACAAAGGTACGAGTATTATTGTTAAAACATACGGAGTATTTATTTAAGACTATTTAAATCCATAAATATTCAAAATCACCACAAGTAGGTATCAAAGTAAACGTTTGATTCCCCTCCAACTATTATATAAGTAGTACGAGTAGTTTTTGAATTTTCCAAAACAAGTTGATAAACATTGTAAAAAATTGCATGAGGAAGCCCCATTTTGTCTAACAGATAAACCAATATCGTTAATTAAATATAGTATTTCGTAAATAAATTAACAATTTTATCTAGACGATTATCAGCATGTCATCTTCGTAACAAAATCAACGAAGGTGGAGCCCCCATATAACGAATATTATTGACTTAATAACAAAATTGTCATTTAATTAACAAACTTTGTTTATCTCCGAGAAAACTTGTATTTTCTCGAATTGCAATGCTAGATAGACTTGCAAGACTAATTAATAGTTGCTTCCTTATCTTTTATCGATTGATCTAGAAAAGTGAATGCAACAATTACTATCCGGCTTCATATATTACCTGTTTGATAAATTCATCACGCCATGTTTGGAGGGCTTCAAACGATCTTTGATCATTCACATCGTATACTAAAACACAACAATCTGATCCTCTAAAAAATGCTGGTCCTAAACTGTGAAACCTTTCCTGCCCTGCTGTATCCCAAATCTGTCCAAATAGTCAAAGTTTTGCACAAATTTTTTGTAGTTACTTTAGTGGGAGAAGAGAGTTAACCTGAAGGCTAACGAGTTTGCCATCGATTTGCAACTCCCTCGTCACAAAATCTGCCCCGATTGTTGCCTTGTACTGTTGATTGAATTTCTTTTGCACGTATCTATATTGCACAATTCAACACAAGCAAAAACGACACATAAATGAATTTGGAAGTGTACACATAAGGTACGGAGTATTACATAATAATTGTATCCTCGAGGTACAAGGGTAGTTGAGTCAATTGTTACGGTGCACAGGTTCATACCTAACTAGAGCGGTAAGAACCATTGGAACGATAAAAATAGGCTAGTCAAACACAAAACTAAGCTCGTACATACTACTAGAACAACATAAAATAAACATTCGTTTCGTTTATAAAAGTTGTTCGTTTTAGCTGATACACATAAATACCACTAGAAATACATTATCAAAAAAGGGGAGAGTCAAATATAAATTGAATTTTAATGAAACTTGAGCCTATTATTCAAACCAATAAAAACATAACAGATTAAAGTTGCATGTAAGGACCACATACAACAATCGTATGTGTAACCTTTACGGTTCGTTCCAACTTTAATTTTTTTGTAAGACAATCACCAATAATAAAACAGAAAAAGTGAAAAACCTTTACAGACGAGGGAGTACATTGATAATCGTATGAATGTTTACCTTGTAATTAGAGAAGTCTTTCCCACCCTGAAAAACAAACACAAAAAAAAACAAACCCATTAATGACGAACATCATATTAATCCCATCATCTCAAACAAAATTAAGAAAAAGAACTTACGCAATATCACCAAGGACAATAACCTTGAGCAAAGTTCTCTGCATATGCGGCGACATTATTATTATCTTGGACTATAATTTTTTTTACAAGACTACAGTTTGTTTGAACAGATATATATTCTTAAAAAATTTATCTAATAAAAAAGAAGGGCGGTTAATGAATTTATAAGAATATGATGAAATAAATAATAAATAGGGTAGGTTTGGGTAAATATATCTTTTTGGTTGGTTTAGTAATCAGGGGGAAATGGTGATTGTTTTTGTGCAGTTTAAATTTGAGGAAGATAGCAATTGGCAAAAGCAGCAGCAGAAAACTTTCATGTGATCAGAGAAAGATGTAAGCTAGCTGTGCATATTATCAATTATTATTAAAGACCCAACTAAAAAAAATAATAAAAAGGGGTTGGAAAAATAATGATGTGATACCATTAAAAGTTTATAAAATTTGAAAAATTGAATCTGTCAAAATAAATAAAAAAAATTTGAAGGTGGTTTTTATTTGAATATTGTTGGTTTAATGGGTCGTGGTAGCCTCAACTGTAGTTTGTTGAGGAGCACACTTTAGAAAGACCTTTTAAACCAGAGCTTTTTATTTGAGTTTCTTGTTTGGATTTGTTGTGATGACAACTGTTATAATGGTAGGATGTTTCTCTAAAGGTGGGATTGGTGGGAATGAAGCTATATGTCGGCCAGCCTAAGACACTTTGTGGGTTGGGCTTAGACACAAACACTAGGTTTGAACTAGGGGTGATCAAGAAAGCTCGGCCCGGCTGAATTTGGGCCCAAAAGGCCAACTCGGATTGGGTTGGAAAACCCGAATTATCGGGCTTATATTGCCTTTGGTTTAAAGCTTGGCTAGACTCTGACCCTAAAACCCGACGACACCTTAATCACAAGCCAGATATGATTGAAACCGTTGACAAGAAAATTTGACTCAACTTGAGTTTGAACCAAGTATGGTTGTGCTTGATAATCCTGGAATATGACTCACAACATGACATTACACTTTGAATATATATATATATAAGCACCTTTCCCCCCTTTTATTCTTAGAAATAAGTTGGTCATTTGTTATGGTTGGAAATGTGATTAAGGCTAATTATGTGTGCCAACCAATTTTATGTGTTTTTAAAGATGCATTGTTTTGAACAATCTGATAGTTTTTAAACCTAAGTATGTTAGGTAATACAAAAGTAGTTAAATATTACGAGTCCAATATGGTGAGACAAAAGTGAGCAAAACGGAGAAGCAAATGCAAGCTCTAGCCTCTAGCGAGGTCGGTAGAGGGCAGAAAGTATGGTGTCATTTGGGGGAAGTGAGAGGACCAAGAATAACTCAAGTGAGGGACCAAGGGTGGTAAAGTAAAAAGTGGTGCATGATGTTTGAATTTTTGTAAATTAACATATCACTTTCGTCGGGTCTTTACCGTTCACCTTTTGTATACTCCCTCTGTCCCTTATTGTTTGCATCATTTGACTCAAAAAGCTCTTACATAAAATGAGTTCATGGTGCAAACAAAAGGGGAATGAGAGAGTACAATTTAAGGTGAATGGAGGGAGTGTTGATGCACTACGTGAGTGTAAGAAAAGGGTAAACAGAGAGATTATAAAAATGTGGATGAGTTTATGAAAAAATGTGAATAGTAAAGGCAAAAGATGTTAAGTGAAAATGTGTAGATATTGTGAGATAAAACATATGTAGAAATTTACATATATGGTCTTTGGTCCGGTTCGATATGGTCTTGAACCAATAAACAACTCTATTTATAAAATATGCTCGTATTGCTAACGAGTAAACCCGGAAAAATTGAATACACCCATACCCAAATTGTATGATTTGAAACGGCATCAACCAACCAAAAATCAAATGTGTTTGAAGCTAAGGAGTTACATTCATCATTATCAAACTCATAAAAATTATAATAACTACTGTAAACATTAAAATAAAATATATAACGAGATTAATCCAATAAAATTTCCTATGACTATATTATCATTTATCACTTATTTTCACTTTTAGTTGCAACGCTTTGATTATCACGCTTGTTAAAACATAATTTAAACTCTTCATGTCTTAATTGTAGATAGTATATAATTTGATACGGAGTATTCTGAATGCATGATTCGAGACGAAATATAACAAGATCCAACTTGATTATATTTTGGCATACATAACAATCGCTAAATACAGTTACATGTTAGCATATAAATAGTGCTAAATTGAAAACGTTGCAACTAAAAGTGAACGGAACATTTTATGGTAAATTTTTGTAAACAATTTGACTCAAATACTGTATTTGCAATGGACTAACCAATTGGTTGTTGATGCAGTGATGATTGAGACTACACTTGACATTTATTCGATTCCCTACAAAGGGGACTGCAACCTGATTATCTAAATTTGTGTCTCAATTCCAGATTGACCCAAAGGATAATTGAGTGAAAACACAAAAAAAAAATAAAAATATAGGGACGGAAGGAGTAATGAAACTCGAAAATTACTCAACTGAATAGCGACCGTGGCATACACCGCCACATTGCTAAGACAGTTTTTGAGTTTCCAACGCTCTCCTTTTTCTCCTCTTCCTCGCTGTCTCTCTCTTCTTCTGAGTGTGTGTTTTTGATCTTCCATCCACCACCCTTTGCTGGCGTTTACCGTTGTAATACTCCATTACTTTTATTATTCCCAAATTCATTACAATTTCTCATCTTCCCAGATCTGTGCCATTTTTCACAGTGATTTCTTGAAGTGGGTATTAAGTATTTTGCACCATTGCATCAGTAGTTTATGCAATTTCATTTTCTGGGATTCATTGGTTTTGAAAATTTTAAGCATTTAATCGATAATCAGAGGAATTTGTTCTTGGGATTTTGCTATACCCAAAATCCTACATTGCGTTTAATGGGAGCTAATTTGATGTATGACTGAAAAACATCAAAAGGGTATTTGTTAAGTTTTTTGGGAGATGATGTTCTGGAGGGATAGGGAGAGAGATAATAACAAGGAGCAAAATGGTGGGCCACTTTCACTTTGTGGGCAGGTCCGAGTTCTTGTAGTTGGAGATTCAGGTATTCTTTTTTCCATTTATTAATAATCAATTTATGATGTTTCATTTGATATGATCTTCATGTGATGCTTTATTTGATTATGATCTGTGGTTTTTTATTTCTTTCTATTATTATATATCATAATGGTGCTGTGATTCGAGTGTTTGATTCATATATAGTTGCTTAAATTTTAAAATTGTTATTTGAGCTGATTATGATGATCTGGATGATGAGAATGTTGAAAATCTTTGAATTTGTTGGTATTTCGAATTCTGGATTGATGACTTAATTAACTAGGGTTGGGTTGGAAATGGGGTGGTTAGGACTTGAACTATAGAAGTCTTTGATGAAATTATGGCATACTTGCTTATGCTTTATAATAATTGCATTATGCTTATGGCATTCTAATAAGTGTTGAGTGAGGTACATGAGTAATGTGTGGTCTTGTGTTTGGGAGGTTGTTTGATGATAGTGGCTTCGTTGCTCTATTACCGCCTTCTGGGTTTGTGTTATGTTCATAATTGTTTTGTTATGTAAGTTGTAAGCTGTACAAATTCATATGAATCCAGGAATCAAATTGTTGCAATCTTGTTATCTCCTTTGCAAATCAAACAAAGCTGATGTCTCCTATTGTTTTGTAATACATGTAGTAATAATTCTATATCTGAGTAATGCTTGCACCATCTTGTCTTTAAAGCCGACTAACTTAATTGGTAGTGGCACCAGCACTATGGCAGTAGAGTATATTAGTCTTTTCTGATTTGAACAATTTTAATTCTAGCGCAGTAGTGTGTAGTTGTATTAATGTCTAGTGCTACTTTGCAAATTGGTTTATTTATTCTTGAATTGAATTTTTTTTTTTTTCTTTTGGGGCAGGTGTGGGAAAAACTTCTCTTGTACAATTAATCACTAAAGGTTCTACAGTCACTAGTCCTTCTCGAACAATAGGATGTTCAGTTAATGTGAAGGTTACTTCAAGTTTCCTTGTGCATTTGTTGTGCAATTTGAAACAATTACTGAGGTAGTTGCTGATGTTTTACTCTTTTTTTTTTGCCTTCAGCACATTACTTATGGAAGCCCTAGTAGTTCCTCAAATAGCATTAAAGGTGATGCTGAAAGAGATTTTTTTGTTGAATTATGGGATATCTCAGGCCATGAGCGATATAAAGACTGTCGATCGCTTTTCTACACACAAATTAATGGTAAGATGGTTAACTAATGCTTTTTTATTTTAGTGATGAAATATTTTCTTTAGTCGATGAGGCCATGAGAGGCAATTAGCGGCCTAGTGGTTTTATGCAAGGGTGGCTTTTAGGTTGTAATTTCTTTTATGTTTATTGTACCTGTAGCGTAAATAAGTAACAAAATTTCCCTTTACACAGTGGTTAAGACCTAAGTATTTTATTGCAAGGATATAGTTCTTGGCCTTTTGAGGTGTGGATTGCATCATTGATTTTATGAGCATTGAAGATCCTTAAATTTAAATTTGTATGTAACTCTCAATATCGTTGGTGGATGGTGAAATCTAAACTTCTGTAATCACTGTCTGCCTTAAGTATGAGGAGTATACCTTCTTGAGGTTACTGTTTGTTAGGTATCAATTTGACGAATTTAGATAACCTTTTTACCTTAAATAGCTACATTTCTGTACATTATAATTAGTGAATAAATGCTCTACAACATTTACTTGTAAGTTCTTGTGCTGCAACATAATATAGACGAACTTCTGCTTCTGCTTAATCAATGATGCTCCCGCACGGAAATAATAGTCACATATATTATATTAATCGGATATCTGATAATGTGCATGTTATATTGTTTTTTCTCAAATGATAATGGTTTGTGGTTATCTTTCCCAAACTAAGGCTGAGTAATGAGGAGAGTGTTGGACTATTCCTACTACTACAACGGGTCTTGCAGTAAAAATGTGTCATGTCCTTAATTATGAGGAGTAGGAATTTGGGATAACATGGCTATGATTTCAAACAGAGGGCACATTTTATATACTTTTTCAAAACTTCGAAAATATGAGTTTCCTCAGTAAGTCACAAGCCAATGGTCTATGTAGAGAACAGTCATGTCTCATGAGCCGAGGACCATGTCATTTTCTAGATATTAAATTGAAAAAGAATTTTGGGGATAGTGTAATTGATGAGGAATGGTGAATGTAACTTGCAAAGTCCTATGTCTAATATGTTTGAGTTTAAAATTTTCAAATAATAGAAAGAATGTAAACTTAGATTGGGATTTTTGTCTATAAAGCAAATTTTATCCGAAGACTTAAAAAAAAGAGGCAATATTAAGTGGACTTCATTCTGATTGAGGTCTTACATAGTTTCTGAATCCCTTCATTGGACAACTGTCCTGAAAATAGTGATTTATTGAACCAAAACCAGTAGTACTTATTGGTATCTTCTTTCACTGTGTCAAACCTTTATATGCAGGTGTCATTTTTGTTTATGATCTTTCACAACGGAGAACAAAAACAAGTTTGCATAAGTGGGCTGCAGAAATTGCAGCAGTTGGGACGTTCTCTGCTCCAATGGGGGTTGGAGGTCCTGGCGGCCTTCCTGTCCCATACATTGTTGTCAGTAATAAAGCAGATATTGCAGCAAAAGAAGGTACTCAAGGAAGCAGTGGTAATCTTGTGGATGTGGCTCGGCAATGGGTTGAGAAGCAGGGGCTTCTTCCGCCAAGTGAGGAATTGCCACTGACTGAGAGTTTCCCAGGCAATGGAGCATTGTTAGCTGTAAGATTTGGTTTCCTTAATTCTTTAGAGTTTCTAGGTCAACCCTTTTTTTTTTTTTTTTTTTTTTTTTTTGGCTTTAGTTAGAAGATTGCTTTCAATAATATCTCTATCCCTTTGTTCAACATATATTGAATTATTGACTGACTATCTTTCCAACTTTCTTAAAGGAATGGCTTCCTAGTGGCTAGTATCTACTTGAAAGTTTGATAAAGAAGAATTAGTCCTTGAAAAATTAAAAACATGATCAAATTATAGTCAGCTTCTTGTCATACAGTAAAACTTTGAGTTGAAGATACTAAGATCTTGGATAGGTCAAGACATTGTATGAGTTGTATGATTGTATCTACCTCATTTTAGCTAGAAATATTAGCATATGTTTCGTAGTTGTTTAGTTTGGATAGTGAAATTTCAATGACCAAGTTGATAAAGCAGCCAATAACAATTCAGAACTTAAGATGAAAAGCCTCGAAAACTTGCTTAGTGTTTATAATGACTGTTCAGTTTCTTCTTTGACATTCCCTGTTCACATTTCCTATTTTAATTCACATAGGCTAGATAATCAGAACATCCTGGCTTTGCTTGTTAAGCTAAATGCAACCTCAACAAAGTCTTAGTCCTTGATTTTGTGGAACAAAGGTCTGCCTCCATGTAGTTATCACTGGATTAGTCTCCACACGTCCTTAATTATATTACTGGTTGTCTGGCTCCATGGGCTGCCTTCATTATTTTAATCATTTCTTATTTTTTATATTTTTTGGAGGGGATGAATGAGGTCGGGGGTTATTGCCTTTCAGGTTCTCATTTTTAGTTGAGTGGTTTGTAAGTTATTGTAACTTTCTGATCCTCTTGTAGTCTAGTTATGGAGTATTTCAGACATAGAGAGCTTTCTTGGGGGGAGGAAGGGGGGAGGTGTGTAGCTGTCATCCCTCTTTTATGGAAACTAATATTAAACAAAGTACTGAAATTCCATTTAAAATCATGAAGAGAGTTATTATCCCATGATGTAGGTAAATTTGATGGGCTATTTAGGGGTTTGCAAATTCTTATTTTTGATTTAACTGATGTAGTGATAAGCAGTTTATTTATTTATTTAATTATTTTTTTTTTGTGTGCGTGTGTCTTGTGTGGGTTCCATTACAAATTTACAATCCTTAATTGTAGTAGCAGAACTAACTGATCTGTGCAAAAGGCACTCTCCATTCTACTGAACTTGTAACAAGTTTGCTAGACTGTCAATCTTCTGCTAATCTTTTATTGTATTTGTTACTTTGTTAGGGTACTATTGTAATTAGTGAATAGGTTCTGATATTTTGGCATGATCTGTTAGAAGTTGTTGAAATTACTGAACTTCTTTACTTTACCTTCCTGTGACTTCCCATAAGTTGGTTACATATTGAAATACATTTTGTTATTTGTGAAGGCTGCCAAAGAAGCGAGGTTTGATAAAGAAGCTGTGACGAAGTTCTTCCGCATGGTTTGTCTCTTAATTCTGTAGGCTTTCTGGAGAGTATACTCACTTCTCCCATCTCTGGACTGGACACTGTTGCTTACGTTGTCAAACATTTGTTTCTACAGTTGATAAGAAGGAGATATTTTTCAGATCAATTACCCCCATCAAATCCATGGTCAATTTCACCAATTCAGAGATCATTTCAATCATCTGATGAAATAACAAGTAGCAACGATCAATCCGTAAGCCGTACAAGGTATTTTTTAGTCATCCTGCATTATGTATCATTTTCTGTAATTTGTCTGACAGACTTGAATCAAGTCTGTTTCTATTTTTACTTTTGCTTTCTTAGGACATGTGATCAGTGCAATTATGAATCTCCTTTTTTTTTTTTTTTTTTTTTTTTTGGCTATGCTCTAAAGTTTTCTTAGGACATGTGATCAGTGCAATAGTGAATCCTTTTTTTTTTTTTTTTTTTTTTTTTTGTTTTGTTTTTTTGCTATGCTCTAAAGTTAAAAACTCCCTCTGTTTTTTAAAAGTAAAAATTTGTACAAAAGTTGATATTTTGTAAATATACCTGGGACAAATCCAATAATATCTTATACAAAAGTATAACATTTGATTCAAAAATATTTCTAAAAAAAATTGTCTAAAAAGATGTGATTTTTTAGTGCAAAAGTTAATATGGAACAATTAAAAAATTTGGAGAGAGTTTAATTACCCAAGCAGCGAAGATTCTAAACTACCAAGCCTATTTGGACACATTCTAATGCTATTCCTTACATACTTCACTTGATTTTTGACTAAGAATAAACCTTCATCTCTAAAGGCCAATGGAAACTTTAGAGGCTGTATTTCAGGCTATTAATGTATTCATTACAAAGTGCAAAAATACATAGGATACCTAATAAAGTACAAAAATCTAATGACATTTGACTTATGTTCATTTGACTTTTAAGAAGTTGATGTAATATGACATAGGATACCTTATAAAGTGCAAAAATCTAATCAAGCATGTGTAAGGTGTGTGACCTTAAAAGTGGAATTTCCTTTACCCAGAATACAAGGAGTTTTTGTTGATTTTTAACATGTAAGCTATAAAATTGTTTCGATCTTCAGTCAGTAGAAGTGCCCACAGTTGGTTAACAAAACTGAAGTACGAAGTAGATTAGCACTCATGACCAAAAATCTTCACATCCATTTATTAGGCCACCAATGATATAAATGGCCAAACCATACTTTTGGACTATGAAAGATTGCCTTGTTTTCCTTTTTGGGCCGTTCCTAAAAGATTGTCCCATTTTCATTTTGAGCACACCTACTTTAAAAAAAATGTGGCTTTTATCTATTTTTTTTCAAAGAAATGAGGTAGTAATAGCAAAGATGCCCTCTACCAAAATGAAGTTTGGGAGAGGGTAGGTGTGCCATAGCTTTGTTGAAGGATATTGTAGTAGATTCATGTTTAGTTCTTCAATGTAAGGAGGTGGAACAATGTGATTTTTGTTGATGAAATATAATCTTTGGAGGTAAATCCCCCTCTTGCTTGAATTTCATCAATTGTAAATTGATATTGGATGAGAGTTAGATACACATTTCCAACTTGTTGCAGAAGCTATTATTAATGAAGCATTTCATATAACTTTGATTTACTCCTTACAGTCAGAAAGTTGGATACTATTTTGATGGTTTATGGAAAATTGACAATCTGATTTACAATTGCTAACTTGTTGCCGGAGCTATGTTTAATGAATGAAGCATTTCATATAACTATGATTTAATCCTTGCAGCCAGAAAATTGGATAATATTTTGGTGGTTTCAAGAAAAACGACAATATTTACTTGAGCAGAGGATTTTATATTTGATAGATTTTTTATGCTGAAGCTTGAAACTTGTTTGGCATTTGTTCTATGTAGTGTTTGTGTTGACCAGATCCAATGTAGAGTAACTTGTTTCTTCTTGCAGTTTAAGCGGGGATCCTTACAAGTACAATGTGCTTCCTCCCTTGCCCGCTCAACACAACCTTACTCCTCCACCCACGCTCTATCCTCAGCGGCCAATGTTGACCCCGGAAGTCAATAATGTGCCTCGGTATAATTTGGCCAGTGCTTCAGAGCTCAGTTATACTAAAACAAAACGTACGGATATTAATGTTTGAAGAATATATACGTTTTATAGTCAATAGTTTGGTAACCATATTGTGATTTTTTTATATTTAAAAACAATTACTGATGTCATGTGCTTTATTTTTTCTATAAGTTCCTTGTTGAACTGGCCAATTATTTGTTTTTGGAAGTTTTGGCCTCCTCTCAGCTTGTAATATTGCTACCAATAATCAAGTGTATAATTCAATTATCAGTTTGCTGAATAGAGTAACATGATGTTTGCTATTTGAACAAGTGGACATCCCCCCTCTCCCACCCCCGAAAAAAAAATTCCTAATGTGAATAACATATGTTTTGAAGGTAAACTCATTCCTACCTCAGAAGAACCATGAGAATCAGAAGCCTGTGAACGGGATGAAGAGTCCAGCCTGGGAATTACTCCTGGAATTCGAGGTATGCTCTTATCGAGCCACACCACACCACACCCTCTCATGTGGATTTCATAAACCCAAAATATCACAAAGTATATTTGCAATTATGCATGGGAGATTTCAGTAGGTCTTCTAGGAGCTAGAAAGACCATATCTTAACATGTTCGCGCATGAGATTCTACAGGGTGCAGGACAGAATTCGTAGGCTAACCTTCCGTGTATAGGAAAGGGGTTCAGGCCTGGGGGCAGGGCTTGAGGTTCTATATCAGAGGGGTACTAATATAGGATTTTTCTTTAGTCTCGTAAATATAATACACATAGTCACATACTCCTTCCATCCCGAAATGATAGTCACAAATACTGTGATTGTCACCCCAAACAATCTGGATCTTTGATCTTGACTACCCCTTCGCATTGAAGCCTTTTAAACATCATAGTACTAACTGACTTTATGTCAATCCATAAAATATCACTATCTGCCACTTGATTGCCGCAATCTTTGGCATCTTCCTTCTGTTCTCGATACTTCCAAGCATTTACCGTGTGCTGCGGCAGTGCTGGTTTTCAGCATTTACTTCGTTCAATCCGTGCCTCTGTCGTCTGCTCAAAGCAAAAGGAAAGAGAAAGTCAATACAATTTTGTCAAGTGCACTTAGTTTAACCAAAGATAACAATAGCTGCAATCTGTCAAGCCTTAGACAATCAGAAATATCGCAGCTTGCGATTTTATTAACTTTGAATTTTTAGAGGATGCACATGGTCACGCATTTCAGCCATTTCAGATTGACTGAATTGCCTCAAGAGCATGGAAGAAACTATATTGTTTCTCTACTAGGAGTACTATACTACTGCTTCATCAGATCAGATTACAGATAATGTTGATTATACAAAGAAATATTATATTTTCGAGTAATCTTGTCTAGACGGGTATATATAGAGATGCATACTTGTTCTTCTTTTAGTAGTAAACCCTCACTGAATTATCTCCGACAATGGAAACCCTTAAGAAAAATTATCTAACAGTAGTTACCCCAATTTTCATCATAATATTGGGTTTAAACAGTATATTCTGTCCTCTACTGGTAGAATCCTGTAATCCTATAGATGAAGAGGCATTGCTTCAATTCAAGAGTGGGATACAGTTTGACTGGTTCCAAAGACTAGGCACATGGGTCTCTACGACCGACTGTTGCACAGCATGGGAAGGAGTGATTTGTGATCCTGACACCGGGAGAGTAACTCGAGTCAGCCGAGTTGGCTTTGTGGATAGTGATTTTGGTGTCGATGGCGATTTTGGTGTAATAGGTACACTTTCTCCTTTCCTTGGCAACCTTACCTATCTTCAAGACCTGTACCTAAATGCTCTAGCTGGGTTAAGTGGTCCAATCCCTCCTGAACTAGGGAAGTTATCTCATTTAACTCATCTTTCAGTAACCTACAACAGGCTAAATGGTTCAATACCCGCCTCACTTGGTAACCTTCATAAGCTAGAGTCTCTCAATCTTGGTAATAATAGCCTCTCTGGCACCATACCTTGTTCTCTTTTTCAATCCATGAAGTCTCTCTCAACTTTGGAGCTAGAGGGGAATCAGTTAACTGGCTCGATACCATCTTCGATTTCAAATCTGGTTTCACTTAACCGGCTTTATCTAAACAAAAATTTTCTTTCTGGTAGGATTCCACTTAGTATTGGCAAACTAAAGAACCTCACCTATATAGATGTATCAAATAATTACATTACTGGGAGTATACCAGATTCCATAGGTAACCTCTCCAAATTAAAATCATTATTCCTCAACCATAACAACCTCACTGAACCCATACCAAATTCTGTTGGTAAACTCTCCCGACTACAGGATTTATATCTGCACCATAATGAAATCACTGGAATCATACCCTATTCTTTAGGTGAACTTTGCCATCTGAAAAACTTATACCTTGACCAAAACAACCTCACTGGACCCATACCAACTTCTGTAGGTAAGCTCTCCCAATTACAGAATTTATATCTGGACCATAACAAGATTACTGGTATCATACCAAAATCTGTAGGTAAACTCTACCAGCTGCAGAATTTTTACCTCGACCATAATCGACTCTCTGGACCTATTCCTTCCTCCATAGGCGGCCTTGTTTCCTTACAGTTCATGAATATCGGTCACAATAATTTGACAGGTGTGTTACCATTTTCCATAGGTAATCTCACCCAAATTCAGAGCATTGTCTTAGAAAACAATATGATTAAAGGAAAGTTGCCACCAACTATGGGGCATCTAACTGTACTGTCTGATGTCCTGTTTTCAAATAACCTGTTTATTGGCCAAATCCCTTCGAGTTTTGCCAATCTCAACCTCTATACTTTGCAACTGTCTAACAATCAGCTCATTGGTCCACTTCCTCGTCAACTTGCTAATGGAAGCATACACAACCTTGATTTGTCCTACAATCCACTTGGGTTGACGGAATTACCTGATTGGATTTTCAAGTTAAAGTTGAGTAATCTAACATTAGCTGGGGCAGGGATCAAAGGGAACTTGCCACAATCAGTATCTTCCTTCCAGTATATATCTTACCTTGATTTATCGAGTAATCAGATCACAGGGAAGTTGCCTTCATGGATGGGCAATATGGGTTTTCTAAACTTCCTTAACTTTTCTAATAATAGATTTTACTCTACAATTCCTGTGGAATTTATAAAACTTCATCAACTCACAGTCCTTGATCTTCACTCAAACAACTTTTCTGGTCCTTTGGGAATAGTTTTTAATAAAGAAGGCTGGGAGTACGCCTCGATTGACGTGTCTAGCAATAGGTTCATAGGCCCACTTGATGAGAACTTAGGTTCCAAGCCAGCAATGGCACGCATATCTTCCCTGGTATTGTCAAAGAATCCACTGGGAGGAACCATACCAAAATCAATAGGAAACCTGACTCAACTGCAAGTGTTAGAGATGGTGGGTAATAGACTTTCAGGAAGAATTCCCCAACAACTTGAACATGCCAGTGATTTGATGACACTTATGCTATCGAGGAATAGGTTGACTGGAAGTATTCCAATGGAGGTGTTGAATTTGGAGAAGCTGCAGTTGTTTGATGTTTCAAGGAATCGACTCAGTGGAAGTATACCTCCTCATAACCCTAGCATTCCTGCATCTGCATTTTCGCAAAATCTTGGCTTATGCGATGCTCCGCTATCCCCTTGTAACAGTTTGTAGTCGTAGTATCATGTAAACTCTGCTTATCAGGGTATTACACTATCTCCGTCAATTGTTATCTGCAATTTTGGGGTATTATTTGTGAGATATAAAAAAAATCCAAAGTTGCAGATAACAACTAACGGATATAGTATTATGGTTTTAATCTTATGTAGCGAATAATGGTTTGCTTTAACAGAGATGGAAATACATTTTAGCCTATTATTCTTTGTGCCAAAATCAATTGTATCCCTTTATAATACCGTTTATATCTAAACTAACCCGCTTATGTTGAGTTTCTGCTCATTTGGACTCTGCTCATTTGGACTTACATTTCTGAATTTTAAATCAGTTTAGCTCACTTTAGCTTCATTCAGTTGTCTATTGCTATTTTTGCACCTTAGTTAGCTATACATACAAAGGGTTTCATTTGGAGGTTGCCTGTCAGTTTGTCATTGACTCATTGTTATACTTATACTTGGTTGTAGATTTTAGGTAATTTCTGCGAAAGAAGAAATGCTACGGCTTATTATGAACTACTGAAAGAAAATATACTTAGAAAATTAACTAAAACAACCTCGAGTTTTTATCAGATCCTTATATATATCCTTTCCAATAATAGCTATTCGAACCTCACAACACTAAAATTTGTAGATCTTCTCACAATCTGCCCATTTGATTACCGCAATTTTGCCTTTTGGCATCTGCCTAAAATCAAACGTTACCTAAATGCTTTACCATTGAACTTACTTGAAACACGAAATTATGGTTCCGTGTTTGACTAACAGCTTGTTTTTGTATTGTGTTCAGAGAGGACTAGTTATGAAGTCAGCAGTACTTTTGCTTGTAAGTACTACTACTGTGATTTAATTATTCAATTTAAACACAACTGCGCTTAGTTTATCTGAAAACAATGTAACGTTACAGTCTTTCATGCAATCGTGCCTTAAACATCTAACGAAAATGTGATCAATCTGTGCATATATCTAGGAAGACAGACATCAAACATGTATAAAATCTATATATATATATTGCAGCTTGCTATTTGACTAAATTTTAAACTAGAAAATGCACATGGTCATGTATTCGATCTAATAGCTTCCTATCTCAGGACTACTGTGAGAGTCAGCAGTCCGATGGGGAAGGGATGAGGATTTGAACGCAAGGAAGTACTCCTAGAATTCGAGGTATGTTTCAACTGAACTCTCTCTTGAAATTCCAGGTATGCATATAAATGATTAATCCCAAATGGGCTATTTAGAGTACTTTATTATGGTTCCATGATGAGCACAAAGGATATTGATATAATTCATGATCGGTATGCTAAGGCTAGAACCTTCAACACTACAAGATTTTTCTGTCCTAAACTGCATACATACTCCCTTTATTCTTAAGTAACTGTCACTTAAATATTGCAGTTGTCATCCTAAGCAATCTGGAATTTTAGTACTAATTTATGTTCGTTAACCCAATGAATATAATCTGCCACTTGATTGCCGTAGTTTTTGGCATCAGCTCTCTGCTCTTCCTAGCATTTACCTTGTGCTGCGGTACTGCTAGTTTTCTAAATTCACTTCAACTGGTGCCTCGAGTCTCTGCTCAAAACTTTAATAGAAAGTCGTCAAGCTTTTTTGTTTTATAATACCACTATGTTGTTTGATTATCCAAATGAATCACAAGTGCACTTAGTTTATCCATAAATAGGAAGAGCTGAAATCTGTTAAGCCTGTTAGAATCATAATGCTCTACCATCAATTTACGCAAACATTAAGACAGAGCTATATAAAAACTGGAAAATATTGCAGCTTGCCATGCTAACTTTGAACTACAAAACAAAGCACATGATTACATATTTAAACAATTAAACTAAACCACTTCAGACTTAGTGAGGGCTTCAAGGTTACGGCACAAAACTATAGTGCAAATCTCTTCTACTTCTACTATTCATTATTGGTTAACCAGATAACAATTAGAGTTTAATACATGAACTGTATTAGCTAGCTGTCTCATCTGGGGGGTGGTATATATAGGGAAGGATGCCCGTTCTTCTTTTGACAGTAATTCTGTCTTAAAAATCTCCAGTAATGGAAACCTTTGAGAAAAGTTCTCTTACAATAGTTACCCTCCTCATAATCTTGGCTAACAGTATATTCTGCCCTCTACTGGTAGAATCCTGTAATGCCATAGATGCAGAGGCGTTGCTTCATTTTAAGCGTGGGATTACATCTGACCCACAGCCACAGTCAAAACTAAAAACTTGGGTCCGTAGGACCAACTGTTGTGCAGAGTGGCAAGGTGTGAGTTGTGATCCTGCAAATGGAAGAGTAGATGGAATCTCCATAACTGGCTTTCGAGATGAAGGTGGTGTTGATCCCCTCTTCGGCTTGGTAGGTACACTCTCCCCTTTCCTTGGCAATCTTACCTATCTTCAATACCTATACTTTACAGACCTCGGTGGGTTGATGGGTCCAATCCCTCCTGAACTAGGAAAGTTGTCCCATTTAACCAGTCTTAGTTTAACCAACAATCTACTAAATGGTTCAATACCTTCTTCACTTGGTAACCTCCGTAAGCTAAAATATCTTTACCTCGGCCATAATAGTCTCTCTGGTACCTTACCCTACTCTCTTTTCAAGTCCTTGAAGTCGCTCTTGACTCTGGAACTAGAGGGAAATCAATTTACTGGTTCAATACCATCTTTGATTTCAAATCTACTTTCACTTGAAAAGATTTATCTTAAACAAAACAACCTCTCTGGTGTGATCCCACTTGGTATCAGCAAACTTAAGCAACTCAACTATATAGATTTCTCATATAATCGTCTCACTGGAAACATTTCAGATTCCATAGGTACACTCTCCAAATTACAATCATTGTTCCTCAACCATAACAAACTCTCAGGATTTATACCAAATTCTGTAGGTAAACTTTCTCAGTTGCAGGATTTATTTCTTGACCATAACAAAATTACTGGAATCATACCAAAATCTGTAGGTAAACTCTCCAAGTTGCAGACTTTATACCTCGACCATAATAGACTCACTGGACATATTCCTTCATCCATAGGCGGCCTTATTTCATTACAGATTTTAAATTTAGGTGACAATAAATTGACGGGTGTGTTACCTTCTTCCATTGGCAATCTCTCCCAAATACAAATGATTGTCTTAGAAAACAATATGATTTCAGGAAAGTTGCCACCAACTATGGGGCATCTGACTACATTGTTTAGTGTCCTGTTTTCAAACAACAAATTTGTCGGCCAAATCCCTTCGAGTTTTGCCAATCTCAAACTCTATACTTTGCAGTTGTCTAACAATCAACTCATTGGCCCTCTTCCCCCTCAATTTGCTAATGCAAGCATATACATTCTCGATTTATCATATAATCCACTCGGATTGAAGCAAATACCAGATTGGTTGTTCAAGTTAAACATCCATAATCTTACGTTAGCTGGGACAGGGATCAAAGGGAAGTTGCCACAATCAATTTCTTCCCCCCCATATATAACTCACCTTGATTTATCGAACAATCAAATCATTGGGAAGTTGCCTTCATGGATAGGAAATATGAGTATTCTAGAGTCACTTAACTTATCTAATAATAGATTTTACTCTGCAATTCCGGTTGAATTTTCAAATCTTCATCAACTCTCAGTCCTCGTTCTTCACTCAAACAACTTCACAGGCTCCTTGGATATAGTTTTCAATAAAGTGGGATGGGAGTACACCTCCATCGACGTGTCTAGCAATAGGTTCTCAGGTCCTCTTGACATAAACATAGGTGACAAACCGGCAATGAGGTCCATCACTTCCTTAATCTTGTCTAAGAACCCACTAGGAGGAACCATACCATTGTCGATTGGCAAATTATACGGGCTGCAAGTTCTGCAGATGGTGAGTAACCGACTATCAGGGAGAATTCCTAAACAACTTGGGAAATCCGAGGGGTTAACATCACTTTTGCTATCGAGGAATAAACTGACTGGAAGTATTCCGAAGGAGGTGTTGAATTTGGAGAAGCTGCAAGTGTTTGATGTGTCAAGGAATCAATTGAGCGGAGAGATACCTCCTCATAACTCAAGCATTCCTGCTTCAGCATTTTCGCGAAATCTTGGCCTGTGTGGTGCTCCATTACCTCCTTGTAAACGTATGTAATTGTAGTACTATTTACAAACTACTGTTGTAGTAACTATGGAAATCAAAATACACTCAACAAATAATTATATCAATCTTGGGTGATATGTCCTAATTTAGTCTCTCCTTTACATAACCTTCCATATCCAAATGCTTAGCATTTTTGCTAACCTGCTGATTGGCTGTTATATGGCATGTACTGATACTCAGATAATCTATTCTGAGTACATTTGATTATTTTGGATGATTTTTGGATGCATGTCTTAAATTATTTCTTCATTTGTGTTAAGATTAACTATTTCTTCATTTGTCTTAAATTATTTCTTCATTTGTGTTAAGATTAATTTTATTTTTCTTTAGTAGAGACGATGCAGAAATGTTAAGGCAGTGTGTATGCTAGTAATTTTTCGTCTCTACAAAAACCGGATCGCTCAAAAATCTGATGGTATTAGCCTATGTTACTCCGATGCCCTGTTGTAAGTCAAGTGTGAAGTTTTAGATCCTCCGACACTTCGACATGATATGCCACCCAAATATATAGTGGCCTTATATGAAATTTTATAATATCTGGAGTGTTGAAGAATCCGACACTCTGTGAGACATAAGACCTAAATCTGATTCTGTGCAACATAGGTTTTAGCCTTTAGATCAATTGAGTGATAATCTCATGTTATTAGATAACATACTCTATTCCAAAGTAAACTTCAACCTCTCATTAATAATTATTGTTTCCTCTAGGTTTTCTCCTTTCCCTCAAGGGTTTTTCACTTGGGAGGGTTTTTCTAGCTTCCATTGCTAGGTTTTTTTTTCTATTTTTTTTTGAAGGTTTTCCTTATCTCTCCTTCCTTTTCTCTCTATCACTACCATCTATTTTCCTCTTGGTCTCAGTTGTGAATCATTGTAGGGGCTTCAACTGGTGTACTTATCTTTGAGATGATGATTTTTCTCTTGTGTTTATTTTCATTTTCGGTTTGTATGGCGAGAATTGGAGAATTGGAGAATTAGGGTTTCATAATCTCCATAAGAATCCAGAGGACCACATGAGTATTTTCACTCAAATGACTACGCATCAATGGATTTCAAGCCGAATCAGAGCTAACTTACATGTTAAATTGCTTTAGATGAAATTTTTTATTAAGGCAATTGTTGATTGAATTTGCGATGTATTTAGTTTTAGGTGTTATGTATTTGTGCTAGAATTCTTGATTTCTTAGGAATTATCATTTGGCTATATTTTATTAATGAAATCCCTTTTCTTCTTGAAAAAAAAAATTAAATAAAATAACTTTAACCTCTCATTTTTCTTAAATAGTCTTGAAATATGTTTGGCCTTTTATTCTATAATTATATTCAATGGACCAAATTCAATTTTTTTTTTCTCTTCATATTCTCACTGCTTGTTTAAACAAAAGTTAGGATTGGAATTGTCCCAAAAAAAACAAAATATTACCTCAAGATTACATTTTTTTTTACTGTGAGAGTTCCCTCTAGGTTTTCTCTTTGGGAGAGTTTTTTGGTTCCCTATAGGATTCTTATAATGAAAAGTATTCCTGCGATCTCAAAGGCATGCAAACAAAGATTCAATTTGCTTCAAACTATAATTAGGCTAAATTGGTTGAATATTAATGCAACATATAATTCTAAAATATTAGTGATCACTTGATTAAACAACAAGATTAAAAAGGAAACTAAACCGGTCGTCCAAATTATCTTATTAAGCATTATATTCAATTACATATTCCCTTTAACATGAAATATGGTGATCAATAAATAATAATAGAATAAACATTAATTATTGGAAGCAATTTAACCATAAACGCTAGTCAAATCAAATTATAATAATAACCCTAATCATGATACTAACAATAAAGAATAAAAATAAGAGTAATTAAGTGAATTAATTACTCACGTTCCGCGTTTCTTTGAATTGATACATCATGAATAAATTATTAAGAACTTCAATAAAAATATAAATTAAATTGAATTTAAACTAAAAGAAAGTAAAGTTGATTTGGTCCAAACCCTTAGTCAATTCTACCTTACATGCCTTGGTTTAAGTATAGAACTTCGGGTCAAGTATGGACTCCTTGGAGTGCTTAGGGAAGTAATAGTGAAAGAATAGGAAGGCTAGTATCTAGTCTAAAGCATAAGAGAGAAAAAGAGAATGTTTTGGTGTATAAGAGAGGAAAAGAGAATTATTTGGTGCCCCGAAACTGGTGAAATTAGCCTCGTATTTATAGAGAAAATGCGAGGGGTGAAGCACAGAACCCTAAGATTGAAGCGCCACAAAGAAATTAAACCTAGAAACTATCGTGCCAGGCTCAAATTGTCGTGACAAGCAATGTCTACCGTGTAACGGTATTTTTACCGTGACGCGGTAATTTCCAGTTTTTACGCGTTTTTAAAACTAAGATAACTTTTGATCTGTAACTCAGAATAAGGCATATAATATGTCGTTGGAAAGCTTATCAAGTCTACTTTCCAACCCAATTGAAATCAGGTTAACGTCTTTTGTAGATTTTAAGATATGGCCGTTTAAGTGCAAGTGTGTCGGTTTTGGGCCGAGTTTTAGTGTTTTGCTCATATCTTTTTCGTTTTAAATCAGAATTGGGCTTATGATATACCGTTGGAAATCTTATTTCAGGCCTATCCAACCAAATAATATTTGGATCAAGTTATAGGGTCACGAAATCAGTTTTACTCGGTTTTGTGATGTGGACACGAAAAGTGCAAAATAAGTTATGGTTTGGAAAAATGGGCTAAGAATTGGGTTGGTTTATGAAATGTATTGGATTGAATATGAATTTAAGCACTCCAAAGAATAAATACTCAACCCGACCAATAATGGCGGTGAAAGGTTGTTCATCATCGAGTTTGGTTTTGGGGAGACATTTTTAGGTGTCTACATAGGGCCTTGCTCTTTCGGATTGCAGCTACTGAGGTCGCCGGCGATCGCATCGGAGTAGGTTGGCCTTCCTCTTCGGTCGTCGGCGCCTCCCCTTCTTTTCCCCCGTCCATGGATGTCGGGTTGCCTCAAAAGTCATCTACCCAGGGTGAGTTTGCTGCGGATTTTCCGTCACTGATCCCCGATATCCAATCCGTATGCTAGGTTGGTTCTCCATCACTCCAGCTCTTTCTCTAGCTAGGGTTTTAAATTGAGTTTATTCCTTACACAAGTTCTTTAAGTAAGGATCTCAATTTTCTAAGTTTTTTCACTTTCCCCCGGGTTTCAAGTTGTTCTTGTTCATGCTGTTGGAATATTTAGAGTGTTGATGGTCGCGCGCTCGCGAACCATAAGTAGCGCCCGCGCTGAGGTCGCGCCTAAACCGCGGACCTCACTGGAATTTGGATGTTTGGACGGAGAAAGTTGGCGCGACCGCGCGTCATGGATGGCGCGCCCGCGCCTGTGGTCGCACCTAAACCGCGTGCCACACTGCCTTCCATTGTGAACTTCGCAAGTTCATAAGAGGCGCGCCCGCTCCTAGTTAGGAGCGCCCGCTCCACTTTGAGGCGCGCCCGCGCCTTTCTTGTTTTCGCGAAATTCTGACGGTTAAGTCTTTAATAAAAAGGCTTGATTCCTTATGTTTTCGATATAAGAAAAAATTCTCTGAATCTCTCCAAAGAAATTCTCTACAATTTTCTCTCAAAATCCTTGCAAACTTTTGTGAGAAAACTCTTGCAATTATTCCAAATTTGTGAATTTATCATCTTTATTTCGATTCTAGTACTAAGAACGAAGTGGTTGTCAATTGTATCTCAAAGAGGATTTCCGGTTTAATCCCAAGTACCGTGTGGGGGAAATAAACCTCTTTAGGAAAGTATTCATACGCCTTTGACAGTGTATCAAGGTCATAGTCTCAAGGGGCATTGCAATTCTCATGTTCATGTGTACTTTGATCGGCTTGGAGTTGAGGCAAGTTTCATAGTCTTCACATTAGTGTTTTGTTTAGAAATTTTCTGTAATTTCTAAGACTTTTCAATACTTGATTGTAACACCTTTGTTGTGTTTGATTTAACTACAACATTATTGTTCTGTAATCTTATTATTTAGGTTTTGTCCCACACTCTTTATTAAGTGTTTTCTTGATTGAAATCGCTGTAAAACCTAACATTCTAAAGAGGTTTAATTTAGAATTGTCAAGTATGTCTAGTGTGAAGGAATTAACAACTAATTTTGTCAAACTCAAGAAGTTTGACGGTGTTGAATTTAGGAGATGGAAGAAGAAAATGTACTTTCTTCTTACATCTCTTAATGTTGCCTATGTTATAAGTACTCCAAGGCCGGATGAACATGAGAATGAGACCTTGGAAAGCGTTCGGGAAAGATCGAAATGGGACAACGACGATTTCATTTGTCGTGGTCATATTTTGAATGGGATGGAGGATGACTTGTTTGATGTCTACCAAAATGTGGAATCGGCCAAGGAGCTTTGGGAGTCCTTGGAGAGCAAATACATGATGGAAGACGCTTCAAGTAAGAAATTCTTGGTTAGTAATTTTAATAATTATAAGTTTGTTGATGGTCGATCCATAATGGATCAATTTCATGAGTTGCAACGTATCTATGGTAGTCTAGAACAACATGGTATTGCTATGAGTGAATTGTTTGTTGTTTCTAGTATAATTGATAAATTACCCCCTAGTTGGAAAAATGTGAAGCATGACTTGAAACACAAGAAAGAGGACATGACATTGTCCGGTTTGGCCACCCATCTTCAAATTGAAGAAGGGATACGTGCCATTGAAGGAGCTAAGGATGGAAATCCTAGCACATTTACCGTTAATATGGTAGATGAAAGGAGAGCTAGTGCATCTACTAGTGGAAAGAGGAAAAATAATTATTCTTCCAAAGGAAAGTCCAAAAAGCAAGCAAACAATAACAAGTTTTCTTGTTGGGAATGCGGTAAAGTTGGTCATCGCAAGAAGGACTGCTTTTATTACAAGAAAAAGATGGAGAAAGCCAAGGAGGGCCGTGCTAATGAAAGCAAGGACCCACCCACCAAAGGTAATCCAATTCATGAGGTTGAATTTAATTCCGGTTTGGATTTAAATGTAACGGATCCTAACATTTTTATGGTGCAGGATGATGACTCATGGTGGATTGATTCAGGGGCTTCAAGGCACGTGTGCAAGAGTAAGCATTGGTTCAAAACCTTTCAAAAGGTTGTTGATGGAGAAGACCTCTACATGGGGAACAACTCTACCATCAAGGTCCTTGGAAGAGGGCAAGTTGAGCTTATGTTTAGTTCGGGGACTGCAATTGTTCTTAGGAATGTTTTGTATGCTCCGGAAATTAGTAG